ATCCCGTCGGTGGACGCTACAACCGCAAAACAACGCTACGTGCCAACGTCAACATGTCTGCTCCTATCATGTCACGTTTCGATCTGTTCTTCGTAGTGTTGGACGAGTGTGACGAGGCTGTCGATCGCCACCTTGCCGAGCACATTGTTGGTATCCATCAGCACAGAGACGAAGCTGTTGACCCAGAGTTCAACACTGAGCAGCTGCAGCGCTACATCCGGTTCGCAAGGACATTCAGACCAGAGTTTACTGATGAGGCAAGAGAAACGCTCGTCGAGAAGTACAAGGAGCTACGAGCAGATGATGCGCAAGGTGGTATCGGTCGCAACAGCTACCGCATCACTGTTCGTCAACTTGAGAGTATGATCCGTCTCTCAGAGGCCATCGCCAAGGCCAACTGCGTCAGCGACATTACCCCCGAGTTCGTCAAGGAGGCATACAACCTCCTCCGTCAGTCCATTATCTCAGTCGAGAAGGACGACGTCGAAGTTGAGGACGATGATGATGAAGCGTTGCTCGCCGCGGCCGCCGCTGCAGAACAGGAGGCCGATGCACCGATGGACGACCAGGAAGATGCCTCTCGAGACCGAACAGCGACTCCAGCCGTTGCGCCGCGCGAGAAGACCAAGATCACGCACGACAAGTACGTCGCTATGCGGAACATGTTTGTCAAGCGTGTCAACGAGGACCAAGAAGAGACGCAAGACGGTGTCGAAGAGGAAGAGTTGCTGATATGGTACCTCGAGCAGAAGGAGAACGAAATGGAGACGCAAGAGGACTTGGAGAGGGAGAGGGCACTTGCCAAGAAGGTGCTGAAGAAGGTCGTCAAGGTACGTCGAAACAACACGAATCTATTCATGATGTGTATGCTAACAAAAACCACAGGAACAATACCTCATGTTGATCCGGGGTGAAGGTCTCGCAGACGAACAAGGTCAGGCTGAGGGTAACGACAAGGTGGTGTACGTGTTGCATCCAAACTGCCCGATTGAAGACATTGCGTAGGCGTTGTTGGGTATTTGATGAGGATGTTGCAGATGACCACGTGCGTACATCAGTTGAGCTTCGGCCTTGTTTTGAGCGTTCGCATAGCCATGTAGTTGTCATGAGAGCTGGATTTTGGATACCGCAGTGGTACATGTTTGATAATGTTATACCCGAATCTGACACTTCAAACACATGATTTATTTTGTTGAGTTGTTTTGATCGAAGGAAGATGATCGGGAACGCGATCATGTGTGATGTGTCGCTCTTGTCGTAGTCTCACATCCATGATGGTTGCATGTGTTTTTAATGAAACCTCGAGTTATCCGGAGGTGTGAAGAGGTAGAAAGAGAAGAGGAGGAACACTCTTTTATACAGCCACTATTCTGAAGACCGCAAAGGTGGACATGGATCAGAATGAACTGGCCTCTGGCGCCGTCTCTAGAGTTGATGAGGGTTAAACGCATGAAAGCAAAACCAGCTGTTTTGGATATCCGTCCCTCTCTTCCACTCCATGGGACTGTCATCTGGGACTTTGGCCTTTTTGACCTTTTGATGTTGCAAGTGGTGGAAAAGTAAGACAGAGTATCAGAAGTCCGTTTTATATGTTCCCCCCGATATGCTAAGGCTAACTAGGCAAAGGCGGGATTCGGCATCATGATTGAGCCAGGAGTTTTTGAACATCGCACACATAGGCTATTGGGATGATGATTTTCTTGCAAAGAGTTTTTGCAATACAGCGCTTCCACACATGGCAGTGTGAACTCGGAATTTTCTGGCCAAAAGCTGTCTTCTCACATATCTTGTTTGCTATCTGTTTTCTGAAAATCGAGGAATTAAAGACGCAAGGTGAGAGAGGAGGCAGTGTGCAGCGAACACGAGATTTTATACTGCATTCGTGTTTGGAGATAACGCTAGGTACGAGTCACGGCTTAGCTGCTTCTCTTTTATCATGCTGTTGGTGTCAATACGTTTTGAACATTACGGCTTTCCAAAATTTGATAATGATGAGGATTTGGGGGTAGTCTGAGCTCATATCGTAATGTTCAAGTAATCGAAGTTTGCGTTTATCCCCTATCTGGTTCAACTATTATGTCCAGCATATCTATGTAAAATATAACGCTTCAGCATTCATCTCTAAGATGCTAATGCAGGTGTCACTTCCCAGAAAGCACATACCCTTCCACCCTCACTCCTCTCGCTCAAGCCTTCTTGTTCTTAAGCGCGTCCACGAACTCCTTTGGTGGTTGCTGCTCGTAACCCTCTGGGTTGTTCTCTGTCCACTTCCACAGGTCGGCGCAAGCATCCTCCAGTGTGAACTCCGTCTTCCAGTCTAGCTCCTTGTTCGCGAGTGTTGGGTTCGCTGTCAGGTCGAGCACGTCACCCTGTCTCCGTGGGGCAACCTCGTAGGGCAGGTCGCGTCCGACAACGGTGCTGAAGGCCTTGATCATCTCGAAAACGGTTGAGCCCTTGCCAGTACCCAGGTTCCACGCCTTGACACCGGGTTGTTGTTCGCGCAGGTAGTTGAGCGCCTGGAGATGGCCTCGCGCTAGATCGAGGACGTGGATGTAGTCGCGGATCGCTGTGCCATCCTTGCTCTTGTAGTCGTCACCGAAGACGAGCAATTTGTCGCGCTTGCCGATCGCAACTTGCGCCAACAAGGGAAGCAGGTTGTATGGTACACCCAGAGGGTTCTCGCCCATGATACCACTGGGATGCGCACCAGCGGGGTTGAAGTACCTCAGTAGCGCAGCGTTCCACTTCTTGATTTCCTTCTCGTCCTTGCCAGCCTTCTTCGCATTGTTGCGCTCGGCCTCGATGGTATCTGTGATGGCACCCTCGATGGTGGACTTTGTGCGGCCGTATACGTTGGTCGGGCCGATGGGGCAGTGTTCGGGGATCGGGATCATGTTGGGGACGCGCGTCGCGTCGCCATAGACGGTCGCGGAGGAAGAGAACACGATGTTTGTGACATTGTGCTTTACCATGGAGGAGAGGAGCGCAATGGAGCCGCCAACGTTGACGCGGTAGTATGTCAGAGGAATCTCGCCAGACTCTCCAACGGCCTGGGAGGTGTTAGCTTGGGGTTGCGAGACAGTCGTTGACAAATGAACGCACCTTCAGCGCAGCAAAGTGGATGACATTGTCGATGTCTGGGTTCTCCTCGAACACCTTGTCGAGCGCAGCCTCATCTGTGACATCGCATTGGTAGAAGGCAGGTCGCTTGCCGCAGATGAGCTCGATGCGGTTGACGACTTCTGGGGAGGAGTTGTAGAGGTTGTCGACGATGACGACCTTGTAGTCGGCTTCGAGGAGGGCAAGGGCTGTAAAGGAGCCAATGTAGCCGGTACCACTGAGCCATTGTTAGTACCAATTGCCCATGATGCTGTCTCGAAGCTGCATGGAGGGGTGGAGGGGTAGCTTACCCGGTGACGAGAACGGATCCTACAACCATTGTGAGAACTTGAGGTATGGGAAGTAGAGAATGTGTCTGGGGGTCTGTCGCTCTTATGCGATTCGGCGACTGCGTTTGATTGCGAGGTTGCAGATATATAAAAACGCGGCAGCACGAGATGCTGGGTTCATGGGCTGTGCCACTAGTCGAGAGAGAAGAGCCGCGTGCGGATAGATTTCCTCATTCGGCAAGGATGGTCTGGCTTGCTCATAGCCATCGCCAGACATGTGTTTCCCATAGACTTCTACGATCTTCCAGCTTCTAATGTTTAGCATGTTGATTTCAATTCTTTCAATTAGACACATGTATGCGCAGTAGATTGTTTGTACGAATTGGATACGTCCACGGGTTGCACCAGCTACAACTTCATCATCTCGTGTTCTGCTCTGCCAAAATGCTGGGAACACGTGTAGCGAGGACGGTAGACACAATGTCTATCATGTGGAATATGATCATGTCGAGTTTGGTAGAGTTGTAAGAGCAAGGGCTGTGACAGTGTGGGCCGATTGCGGGTGAGGATTGCCTGTCAGCCCTGTAGATCATGATAGCAACCCACCCACAGTCCACGAGCTGCTGCGTGGACTTGACCAGCCACTCCCCGTCTTTTGGCCACATGCGCCAGTCACCAAATGGCCGTACGACGTATCCTCTGGACTAAACTTGGGTGACGCAGGTACATGCGAGCAGGCGGAATAAGCGTTGTGGCTCTCAGGGTCTTGTGCTCCGCTTCCAGCTGGGCCCGGAAATTTCATGCATCATCCATGTCTTGTGGTAGCGGAGACACTAGCTCCCAATCGTCTCTGAGGGGTGCTCCATCTCTCCCAGCTTGTTATACTTGCTCCTGTCTGCTTGTGTCTCGTAAGAGTTAGTTTTTCGCGTCAAAGAATGCCATGTCACACACCGCCGGATGGAGTGCAGCCTCGCTTAACCTACCGGTTGCGGCGGCTTGCGGACAGGCTGAACCCTTGCACCTCAAAGCGCGACCTCGAACTTTCATCAACCTCATTGTCACCCATCAATACCAACTGAACAACATCGCGCCGGATCCTGGGAACATGATCGCGAGTCGCAATCTACGCATGAACGAGCGCCAGAAGTTTCTCTATCGAGTTTAGTCCCACAGCGCATCTGCCGGCTTCGACGCGTGAAGGCTTGTCCACGTGTTTACGGACCCACTGCAGGAACCCGCCATCAACAATACCGTCACCGAAAGTGTTAAAGAGCAAGAGTTGGAACGCAACGCGCCCGCAATCGCGCAAATAGGACGCGACGAAGTTGGGTCTCTGGCCGAGGTGTAAGTTGGCGCGATTTTCCTACCCATGTCTTTGCGATGTGCCCATGTCTCTCCCATGCATTGCGAGGCTGTATGCACGTGTCGTCCTGATTCACCTTCACCTCGTCTTCACCGCGCAAATTTTCGCCAGCTGGCTGCAGCTTGGCAGCAGTTGGGCAACCCATTCTGTTTTCTATTGTCTTGTCATTGTCGCGAATCTGTCTTTTTTCTTTGTTCACAGCTATTGTTGGACGACTCCAGTCCTCTGGCGTCTTTTCTTTCTTCTACATGACCGCCCCAGCAACCCAATCTTCCAACGACCAACTACTCACACAACCTCAGCAAGCAATCCAGCCCACTTCTCCTGTGCTTGGTTTCGATTTTGCTGGCGACACATCACTTCCAGATTTCAACCGCGACCTTGACGAGCTCATCGCCGCCATGTCGCAACGCGCCAATGGGGAGGCGCGCACGCCTGGAGGACGTAACCGTCGCTCAGATCGCCTCAGTCAAAAGGCAAACTCTGTTGTTGCAGATTCAGTTGTCACCAACGCCACAGCGTCCGCCGCAGCGAAACGTACTACAACAACGTTAACCAAGGTCGCCAGTCGCAGATCAAATGCCTATGGCGCGAGCGGTCGTACTGGTGCCCCAGATAAGCTTCCGGCCGCTCCTGCCACAGGATTCGCCCAGGCTATGGAGAACCAGATGGAGAAGTACGCCGACGATGAGGAAGAGGAGGACCATCAAAGCGAACAACAAAACCACGAGGAAGAAGGTGTCCAGGAACTTGGAAGTGAGCGCCAATCGCGCTTCATCAGGCAAAACCGCAACAGTGACAAGTTCTCACCCGACAATGTGCGCAACCCCGGATCAAAGTCAAAGGTCACTCCTGGCTACTCCTTCATCGACAGTGATGACTTCGACCACAGCGATGATGATCTTGCGGCGTCTGTCGGCAATACCACCAAGTCGTTCGGTCTTGCCCACGAGGCTGGTATGTTAGTGTCCCAGGATCCATTCATGGGCTCGCCTTTCCCAAAGCCTGCAGCATCGACCCGCAAACCTGACCTTACAACATCTACCAACACCACAAAGTCGAACGGCATCACCCACGAGGCTGCTACTTCAGGCGCACAAGATCCGTTCGTCAGGCCAGCAGTACCGAGTCGCAGGCCCGCCAGTCGTACCGTGAATGGAGCAAGGACCCAAGGACCCACCCCCGTTTTATCTCAAAGTTCTATTCGTAACAGGGTCTCAGTGCAACCTCAGGTTCCTACTCCTGCCGAAAATGCTATCAAGGCACCCATTCAAGGACAGTCCCATATCAGGGCAAACGTACAGCGGCCTACTGTTCGCGCTCCGTCAGCTGAAAATGAAGGATCTGTAAGAGATCTAATCGTCGAGGAGCAGACTAGACTTCAACAACAAGGCCCACCATCGCAGTCACAGCGACAGTCAGAGCGACGCCGCCCGCACCAAAAGGACAGGGTCGAGCTCAACGCATGGCTTGGCGATGTTGAACCAGACGAGGTTGACGAGCCGGTATGGGAATGGAAAAAGCTTATGATTTGGGCGTTTGGTGGATTGGCCGGGTTACTGCTGCTGAGCTACCTTATCTCCTCCGCCATGGTGGCCACGCCATTCCCCGAATCAGCCGTGCGTACGCCTGGATTGGTGAAGGCTGTGGGCGCACGAGTCAGTCACACATATGAGAAGATTACCGAGTTCATCCTCCCTCCCACCGAGCACAAACTCACAGAGGCTGAACTGGCTCAAGCGTATAAGAACAACGGCGACGATAACCTCTTATGGGGCCGCATGTCCAACATCGACAAGCGACACACGCAGCGCTTGGAGGATGTTCGTGCAGATATGCGCACGACAATCGAGGAGCTCAAGCAGGAGCTTCCTGAAGTCATGATCGTTCGCCGTAATGAGGATGGCACTTCTGAAATCACGGATGACTTCTGGATGGCACTGACTGGCAAGACACGTTCAAGCATGGGCGACAAAGAGTGGGCGCGCTACATTGAACAGACCAAGACCAAGCTCGGCGAGCTCTTCGACACCACGGCCCAGCAAGAACGCAGCCACACTGAGAGCTGGCCACAGGCCGTCTCTCGTGATGAGTTTGTCACCTTCATGGAGCGCCGCTACGAGAACTTAACTGCTCAAGTCGACAAGAAGATCGACGAAGCTATCAGAGCCCAGAGCGCTCAGTTCAAGACGATGGTGCAAGCAGAGGCCCGAAAGACCATGATGGACCAAATTCGACTCAACTCTCTTGCGCAAGCCAACCTTGTCGCAAACTACGAACTCCACCTCACCAAGCCCAACTACTTCTCTCCTGGTCTAGGCGCCGTTGTCGATCCAGACATGTCTTCCGTCACATACAACCACCGAGCTGGTCGACTCCACGGACTCATCCGCCGCTGGGCCTTCGTCCCCCATCGCAACCCACCCATGGCCGCGCTGACGAAGTGGGAAGAGCCAGGCGACTGCTGGTGCTCTGCTGGTCAAGCGCCCGTTTCAAGCGGCCAGGCCCAACTCACTGTCAAACTCCCACGCCCCGTCATCCCCAAGCAGGTCACCATCGAGCACGTCCCCATGAGCATGATGCCAGCGCGCAACATCTCCAACGCGCCCCGCGACATCGAGCTCTGGGTCCAGACAGACGCGCCCATCAACCCCTACTACTCCCACCGCCAGGTCACCTGCCGCGACCCGCCACCACCCAGCTTCGACGGTCCCGCCTGGAAGTGTCTGGGATCCTTCAAATACAACATCCACGCATCCAACCACCTCCAGACGTTCGACCTCGCTGGCGAGCCGTCCGAACCCGTTTCGAAGGCCATGGTACGTGTGACTAGTAATTGGGGTGCTAGTCACACGTGCTTGTACCAGGTTAGACTGCACGGGACGGATGCAGAGAAGGACTACGAGTACCCTGTGAGCCTAATGGATTAGACTCTCGTAATAGCTGGGATGATGTCGTAATGTAGCATGACGGCGTTTTATATTGTTTTCTGCAGGATACCTTCGGGTTTTTACGATTGTGTTTGTATACCCAGGATAGTTACAGAGCATTAGGAATTGAAATTTAACTTGACGATTATGAAGTTTGATGACTACAGTGACCCTTCGAGTAAGCTTTTTGTATGAGTTGGTTCATTGACGATAGACTGAGTGGACTGAGCTGACTTTGGGGTTACGTTGTTCATGTATTGGAGTGCGACTGGCTCACATTTGTGGCATGCTATCTACTTTGAACACTCAACGTATCCGCCAGGCCTTAGTATATGTAACACGAACAATTCTTTTTAGACTGTCGTATACCATCAGGCCCATCTATCGCACAACACCTCCCTTGAGAGTGGGAATGCTACACAGACCGTCCTTGGTCCTCAGCTTAGCTACACCCGTCTTCTTATCCGCGCCCTCGCCGCTCAATTGTGGTACGACGCCAACATCGAAGCCGACCTCTAGACCATCTGTTGTAGTGAAGCCTGGCTGGATCATCTCCCAGACCTTTTTCTTGGGGTTGAGCACCGGCTCAGGCTCGCCTTCCCAGCCCTCGAAGTAGACGCGGTCGCCGGCCTTGCTCTCCTTGGGGGGATCTACCAGCTCGACTGGTCCCTTGTGGCTGTCCTCTCCCTCGGTAACGCGTGGTGACGCAGCGAGCACCATTGCACAGCTCTTGACACCGCGCATAGTGACGGGCTTCAGGTTGCACACTGCGACGATCTTGCGGTTCTGCATCTCGGAAAGGGGAATCAGGCCATTGAGACCTGAGCATACGGTGCGCACGACCTGACCTTCGTACTCTGAGGTGTTGTCTGTGCCGGGAGCGTCGCCGCATGCGATTGTGGATACGTAGAGCGAGTCGGCGTTGGGGTGGGTCTCGGCCTTGAGGATGTGGCCTACGCGGAGGTCGATGAGGGCGGGAGAGAGGGGCTTCTCAACTGGCGCGCTGCGTGTTGTTAGATGACGTGCGGACGCAAGCAAGAAATATTGACTTACGCTTTCTGGGGCTTGGGCTGCTTCTCCTTCTTTTCCTTCTTCTTCTTCTCGGTTGGCGCACCTTCTGGAACACCGCCAGCTGAGCCACCCGCTGCATTGCCGACGACTGCAGATGCTACAGCGGAGCCAGCGGCCTCGGCCTTGCCCTTTGCCTTCTCCGCCTTGCTCTTGCCTCCCTGGCCTCCTTGTGCGGCTTGTCCTTGATCGCCAGTGAGAGTAGTAGCTGTAGCGCCAGATGCCGCGGCACTGGCAGCAGCAGCCTCCTTCTCCTTCTTCTTGCGCTCCTTCTCGGCCTTTGCGTCTACTGGCTTGATCTTGAAGATAACGTTGTCCTGGTCGATGTTGACCTTGTCGTCCAGCTTCAGGCCGAAGACAGGCGAGTTCTGGACAAAGTCGACATGGCGGACGATGTGATGGTATCCCTGCTCTCCAGTTCTCTCCTCAGCACTCCATTTCGAGACTACTGGTGCGAGCTTCTGGTAGAGGGCGATGTCTGCGACGGAGGGCTTTGCGCCGAGGACGGTGGTTCGGCTCGAGAGGTGTGTGTTGAGTGATGACAGGCGCTCGGAGGCTTTGGCGGCATCCTCAGAGGAGGAGGCGATGTGGGAGGCAGTGATCAGCCATTGACTGAGTTCCGTCTTCTCGGCGTCGGTGTAGGTGACTTCGGGGTAGAGGGCCTGCGAGGCCTTGACAGCGTCCGTCTCGTCGGCGGCGTTGTTGGGCGCGTGTGTCTTGAGGAAGGTGACCAGGGTCTCGTCGATTGTCGTCATGGTGGGCAGTGGTGCGAAGGTTCGCTGGAAAAAGTTGAGGGCAAGTGGCTGTAGTGGGGTAAAGAAATCCGTCGTAAAGCTACTGGGCGCGGTGGCTATGAATCTGTGGGGATGTGTAGGCGGTATGAAAGATGCTCCAGCCTGGCAATATCTCGTCCGTGGTAATTGAGGCCGTCCGATGTGTAATATGCGAGAAAAGGGCGTAGCGGAGGGACAACGGCGAAGATGCATGATTCACGTGAGTCAAATTCAGGTCCTTCGTCACCGCGCGGGGCTCAGAAGCTTCCGCCATGTCGCCGCACAGGCCATCGCGTTTACCAAGTCGCGTGTCCATCGCATGCGTCGCGTCGAGTGCACCTCGAGATGATGCTGTTATGCTGAGGGTGGATATGCCTCGTGTTATGGACTACTCTCCACGAGTAGATGGGTGCTTGATCCTTTCTCCTTCATGACGCCCGCAGTCCTTCGAGGCCTCAACATGCAAAAGGCAGAGCCAAACCCCCCAATGGTCTAAGCAGACGATGCTGTAGCCTATGATATGTCTGTGGAAGGCAAAGAGAGTTTGGATGACGAGTCGTTTGCTGCCTGCGCCCCACGTCTACCTAGGTATAACATGTCGAGCTCTCCTTCCCCGCAACACCATTTCTACACAGCATCACCATGGCGTCCGAATCGTCACCAGATGTGCCCAAGGGCAGGAAGAGGTTCATTCCTCTGGGTACGACATCTCCACATACACTGCATATATACCAGCTGATGCGCGACAGAAAACAATCCCGATGTCATGTCCGCTCTCGTCCACAAGCTCGGTCTGTCGGAGAAGCTTGCATTCCACGATGTCTTTAGCATAGACGAGCCCGAGCTACTTGCTTTCGTACCTCGACCTGCTCATGCCCTCCTCCTCGTCTTCCCCGTCAGCAAGACATACGAGACATTTCGCATGCAGGAAGACAAGGACAAGCCAGAATACCAGGGACATGGCCCAGAGGAGGAGGTCATCTGGTATAAGCAGACTATTGGAAATGCTTGTGGTCTAATCGGATTACTCCACGGCGTCTCCAACGGTTCCGCCCGTGCACACATCAGTCAGTAGCCGCCGTGTTCCGAGACAGCCATCAGACATGCTGACAAAAGCCTTAGGACCCGACTCGAATCTGGCCAAGCTGGTCAACGACGCGATACCCCTCAAGCCTGTCGAACGAGCCGATCTCCTCTACGAATCTGAAGCTCTCGAGAGCGCACACCAAAGCGCTGCATCCGGTGGTGATACTGCTGCGCCTGAGGCCGATTCCGACGTCGATCTACACTACGTTTGCTTTATCAAGTCGGACAAGAACCATCTGTGGGAGCTTGACGGTCGGCGGAAAGGTCCTCTTGACCGCGGTGCGCTGGGTCCAGACGAGGATGTCCTAAGCGAAAAGGCTCTTGACCTGGGCGTACGCAGCTTCCTCAAGCGCGAGGCTGAGGCCGGCGGAGGAGAGCTGCGTTTCAGTCTGATTACACTTGCCGAGTCGTTCTAGGAGGATAACGAGAGGAGGGAGTCCCGGCAATTCGCTGAAATGTCTGGCGATGAATTATAGGGTATAACGATACATGGACTGTAGCATGATGTATACACTAGCCTATACTACTCCAAGAAGTATATTGCTCTCCTCAAAAGTCATCCACCTTGACTTCTCGTCCCTCCTTGAGCGGTAGATACACCTTCTCCCATAGATCACTCCTCTCACCAAGATGATAAGTCAGACTAACATCTTGCATACCTGGAGGCGAGGAGGACGAAGTAGAAGCCATGGTTTCGAGTTGCGAGATAACGTTCTCTAGACCCAAAGCCTTTCCGGTGGCTTGCGTACTGCCAGCTTCCAGCGAGACATGGACGATGTGAATGTGGAAGTGGTAGTACGTCGGTTGATCTACACATCGGTTAGTAACTCTTCGCAACAATCTTCCCGGTATAAACTTACAGTGCACGTAAAGCTTCAACTCGTCTCTCTCAAGCTCCGGGTAAAGCTTCACCGTCGCTTCAAGCATCTTCTCCCGCATATGCTTCACCCATTCCGTCATGTTCTTCTTCAAGTCCCTCACACTCCAGATATCCCTTCGCTCCACGATGCCGAGCAAGTGCAGACTACCCATCGTCTTACGGTCCCAGTTGAGATCAGGCAAAAGCAAGAAGCCCTCCTCGCCCGACTCACGGTAGATGACATCCTCTTGTTCAGTCCGGCCCTCAATGATGTTGAATACCCAGTTCAACGCGCCCTTTTCACGCTGTGCCTGCATGTACGGCCTCACATACTTTTCGTAAATCTCTGGCGTCTCGGTGACGACCCTTAGGCGCTGCTGTTCATACTTCTTGATGTGTTTCTCCGTGCAAGGATAGATCAAGTTCAATTTGAAATCTGGAGGCGGGTTTTCGTCGCTGGGATTGGAGTTTGCCAGGAACCAGGCGTAGATGTCGTTCGCACCGAGGTTCTTGATGTTACGGAGCGAGGTGGAGAAGCTGTTTAGAAGTTCAGGGTTCGTATCGAAGGCAGCGCGCTCAGCGAGCAGGAGAGCGGGTTTGGAGTCTATGGTGCCCAGAAGGGAGATGCGACGGCCAGCTTGGTCGGAATTTAAGAGGCGGGTCAGATGGAATTTGGGGATTAGAGCCTCCGCGTGGGCGGCGACATCTGGGGGTGTTGTGGAAGTCATTGTTCACTGTAGGTTGTGAAGCACAATTCCAGCACTAAGGTCATAGTCAGTAAGAGTGAACACCTAAGAAACATGGCATGTTCTATGTATGAGTCAAGCGTCCTCGTCGCGGACTTTCACGTCTACTCAGGTATACGCGTTCGTTTTAACGAGATTCGCGATTTTGACAAGTCTGGGGATTCTGAACTTACCAGAACAAGGTAGAATAGTCCTAAAAACACATGCAAAGTATCCCGCGGTTTCGGCACGATGTGGGGGTGGAGATTGATGCGAGGTCACATGTCTGCGCGATCTCGCGTATCACTGCAGCAACCAGGGAAGGCGCCCCGATCGACGCCAAGCAAATCGAATGAGGTCACTGAACCCAACCACCCCATCATAGCACGCAACCATCACGACGTCAAATACCTAAGAATCACCAGATATCGATCGCAAATACATCAATATGGCACCCAAACGCAAAGCATCGGGCCCAGCGGCCAAATC